AGAAAAGACAACCTATACATGTCTATTTGGAACTTTTGCATACCGGAGAATGCCATTTGGATTGTGTAGTGCCCCGGCTACTTTCCAACGTTGTATGGTTAGCATTTTCTTGGAATATGTTGAAAATATAATTGAAGTTTTTATGGATGATTTTACGGTATACGGAAACTCCTTTCAAGAGTGTTTGACCAACCTCACAAAGATTTTGAAAAGATGCATTGAAACAAATTTGGTTTTAAATTTTGAAAAATGTCATTTTATGGTGAGTCAAGGTCTCATTCTAGGCCACATTGTGTCAAAGAAAGGAATTGAGGTAGATAAGGCAAAAATTGATGTTATTCTAAGCTTACCTTACTCGACTTGTGTTCGGGAAGTTTGTTCTTTTTTAGGTCATAAGCGTTTCTACCGAAGGTTCATCAAGGACTTTTCAAAGATAACATGACCAATGTGCCAACTCTTGCAAAAGGAAGTTTATTTCGAGTTCAATGAGGCGTGCAAAGAGGCTTTTGATAAGCTCAAAGAGTTAATTACATCCGCCCCCATCATACAAGCACCAAATTAGGATCTCCCCTTTGAGATCATGTGTGATGAAATCAACTATGCTATAGGCGCCGTTTTGGGTCAAAAGAATAGCAGAGACTCTCATGTGACCTACTATGTATCAACGATACTAGACAACGCTTAAAGCAACTACTACGAGTACGTTGGGCGTACTTATTAGGCAGGAGGATCACGAGTGCTCTTTGGAGTACGTTGGGTGTACCAGGAGTAGCAGGGCGTACTTCAGTCAGGTGAAAACCCTAATTTAGGGTCTTGGACCCTATTTATTGACCTTAACTCAACTCTGAACCCTCTTACCTTCAGCCTCTATCCCATTAAACCCTAAATATGAAACCCTAGCCCCCATTAGAGTGATTATTGAGTTCTTGGTGTAATTTCATGTGTTTAGTGCTCAATAAAGAAGAAGGAGCTTCATGAAGGAGAGTTTGATTCCTTGGAGCGTGTAGATCCAGGCTTGGTTTTCCTTTCTACATCTTTTGGAGGTATAAATTCTCAATCTTGATGGCTTCTTTGTATAGATCTTGTTTTGGGTGGTATTTTATCATGTATTGGTCCCATGGTTGTGGTTCTTGTGAGTAGAAGTTACTCTAGAACCTTTGAGCCTCATATTTGGTCCTTGTTGAGGTTATTAAGTCATAAAGTTTGGATCTTGTGGAGTTTTATCCCTTCATGAAAGTATTGGTGACCTTTTATGAAGATTAGGAAGCTTTAGATTATGGTTTGGACCTCATTAAGCCATGCAAAGTCATAAAGTCAGGAACTTTATGACTTAAGTCACATCTTAAGGGTCAGATCTGTGTATGGACGTTCTTGTCTTAACCATTAAGATCCTAATGGTGAGTTTTGGCCCTCTGACGAGTACGTTGGGCGTACGTAGAAGTACGCTCAGCGTAATGCATGGATAAGGCTTCACGACTTGTACATTGCGCATCGATGAGCAATACGCGAGGCGTACTCCCGCGATGCTCATCTTGGGCCTTTTTGGGATTTAGGCTATTAGATGTTGGACCAGTTATGGGAAGGGTAAAATGGTCTTTTAACCTTTAGGAAGACAGAATATAATTTGGGCCTTAGGACTCTCTATATGGGCTTGGGCCATTAGTGGGCCTAGTTTGGGCTTGGGCCATTATTGGGCCGCGTGATTTATGGGCTTGACTTTAAGAATGTAACTTGGGATGGTATTGAATGTGTTCAGTGGGAGGAGCCGTTGTCCAGCAGACTTGGGTGCGAGATTTGCTATCTTCCAATTGAGGTGAGTCTTCTCACTGTGCTCGTGGGTCGAAGGAACCAATGTCGGCCCACTAAATTGTAGATGTAGGATGCTAGCTGTCTTCGTGACTCTTGCATGTTTGTATGAGCGTGTGTGGTAATATATATATATATATATATATATATATATATATATATATATATATATATATATATATGTGTGTGTGTGTGTGTGTGTGTGTGTCTGTGTGCTGACCAGCTGGGTCTTTCTTGTTGTTACTGTGATATGTGTTACTGTGTACTGAGACTCCGGGTAGTCTCTAGGGTTGCTGATAAGTGATAACCCACCGGGCGTGCTGTTTGCCCACTGAGACTTTGGGTAGTCTTCAGGGTTGCTGATAAACCACCGGGAGTGCTGTTTGCCCACTGAGACTTCAGGTAGTCTCCAGGGTTGCTGATAACCCAAGCCTGTTTATTTGTGTTGTGTTGTGTGTGGTATTTTGGGAAACTCACTAAGCTTTGTTCTTACGGTTTGTGGTTTACATGTTTCAGGTTTTCTTATATTAAAGGAGGGGCACGACTCGATTGCATCACATCAATGGGGGACTTATGCACATGACAACTTTTAATGATACTCTGATAAATGTTTTAAGATCTTGTTGTTGTGATTTGAATAAACACTTAAAGTTTTAATTGAAAATTTTGGATTGAAATTTGGGACGTTACATTTTTCTCTATTTTGGCATTTTCTTCGTTTTCGTTGAAAATCGTTGAAAATCAATGAAATGTTAGATATAAATGAGAGTTTTCGGTTGAGAGAAATGAGGGTTTTGGTTTTCGTAAATCGCGGATTCTGATGATGTATGCACAATTCAGTTATTATTCCTTTTTACGATTATACCCCTGTTATTTTTTAAATGTCATATGTTTGCAACCAATTGTTAAGTTATTTACAATTATGTCACCTTATAAAGTTAAAGTGTAATTTTTGTTCTCAAATGTTTTCGAAATAAAAATATTCTCGATTGAACGCTCCCCTATATATACTATATATATATATATATATATATATATATATATATATATATATATATATATATATATATATATATATATATTAATAATATAAAAAAAATATCAATTCTCATAATTTTTTTTTTATATTTTAATTAGGTGTAACACTAACAACTCACGTTTGAAATTACTAATATAATTGGCTTGATACTAATTCTTTTTGAATAATGCTAAAAAAAATTACTAACACAAAGTTAAAGCACGCTGAGCTAAAATGAATTACTAACTCACGCAACAACCAAAGCTTCAAACTCTTCAAATATATATGTAAATCTTTTTCTTCTACTCTAATAAATGAAGATTTTTTTGCCACTTGTCACATTCTCATTTAGTTTGCCAAATGTCATTTTGTGGTTATTTTGAATTATTTTTTTTTCCACATGTCATTTTATAAGTTTTTCTATTTTTCTAAATTTCACATAATATTTTAATGTAATAATTACAATAAATATAATAATAAATGGATATCAATATCATTAATAAACTTACCTTTTAATTTCAAAATTCTCAAAATTAAAGCTCATTAGTTTTTTTGTTTATTTATTTAAATTATTTGTTTAAATTTAAAAGATAAATTATATTTTTATTATAATAATTTATTATTTTTCTTATTTTCTTATAAATCCAAAGTTCTCAAATATTTGGACTTTTATATTTAATTATTTTTTTAAATTAACTCATGTAATACATGGGTATCACAACTAGTACCAATATATACCAACTAAATTTATTGGTAGATAAATAAATTGGTGTAGGATACTAGTAATTAAATTAAAATAATCTCTATGGTTGATGCAGTACACACTTTAAAAGATTTTCTTTTATATCATATCAATTCCACCCTTACATCAACAACTTAACCATCCACCGTATAAAACCTAATCATCCTTCAAGCTGGGAGTCTCATTAGGGATGGCAAAAAACCCCATACCTCCGAAACGCGCATCCGTTTTGACTGGGGAATCCCCGAGTTGACCGGGGATGGGGACGGGATGGGGAATCCCCGAATAAAAAAGTGGGAATGGGGATGAGGATGGGGATACCCCTAATCCCCGACCCTGAACCTGCCCCCGATATATATTAATATATAAAAATAATACAAAACATATATTACAGTACAATTTACAATACATAAAATTTGATCCAAGTAACATAAGTCATTAGCAATTACTTGGTTGAAATTATACGTTTTCTTTTCCTTTTATCTAATTTAAACTCATGTATAATTTTTTTCTATCTGTTTTATTTATTTTACCTCAAATATCACTATGATAATTTTTTTCATTTTATTTTTCATGTATTGATTTAAATTTGGTAGAAAATTAATTTATATTTTTTGTGCATTCTATGAATATTTTTATATTTTTGTAAATTCTTTAAACTTATGCTGGTAAAATTGAAATTTAGAGTTTTTATTTATGTAAAAGTTTTCATATTAAAAGAGGAAAAGAAATCCCCGATTCCCCGCTGGGATCCCCACCCATTGGGGATGGGGATAGAGGTTTATTTATATTCCCAGATGGAAACAAGAATAGGGATAAGGATTGCAATTAGAATTCGGGGATGGAGACTCGAGTCCATCCAGTAGTCTCCGCCCCGTTGCCATCTCTAAGTCTCATAAACAAACTTGCATTATTCTCAAAAGTAAAAGCATGTGTGAGAGGATCTTATAACAAAATTATCTAATACGCTATTCGAAAGTTTCTTTCACAATTCACATAACTAAAACTTAAAACACAAGTTATCATATAAAACACTCATTCATACTTGTTAGGTTTTTTTTTTTTTTTTATTTAAACGATTCAACAACATAAAACTACCAAAAAAAAAAAAAAGAATTACAAACCCACCCATTTTGCTACTTATCCATCAAAACCTACATAAACTTTTAGAAAATCAACTTGTTACTTGAACATATTTAGATATATCGCGAAAATATATTACATTTAAACTCTTATTTATTTCAAAATATTCTTTGAAAGGATACCTATGAAAATCCCTAGCAAAGAATATTTTGGAAATATATACCATCAACTCTTAATTAATTAATTTACCAAAAAAAAAAAGAAAGGATTTTTTTTTTTGGTTAAAAAAAAAAAAAAAAAAAAAAAAAGCAAACAGCGATTGATTACGGACGCAGCAGTCAATTGCTTATCTCATCGTCCTATCTGCGCATCTAGCTGCCAACCGCACATCCTGATTTTAAGCTGCAACTCCGTCACCGCCGCTAAAAACCTCAAGTTCTGCACCGGCGTTAATATCTCCACCACCTTCTCCGCCGTTCTCGTCCTCAACATATCCGCGTTCGCCACAACCACCTCCATCTGCGTTCTCAACGTCTCAATCACCGATTCCATTTCATCATACTCCCCATCCACGAGCGGATTCCCTCCTCTCCTTGCAATCTCAACAATCGGCGGCGCCGCTACGCTTTCTTGAATCCTCGCCAACTCGTTATCCAATACCCTCTCATCCGCCTTCGTCTCCGCCTTCAGCCTCTCCATTCTCTCCACCTGTTCCTCACTCATATCCCCAATCGAACTACCTACAATTCGAAACGTTAATACAGGCTTGAATCCAGCAATCCAGAAGAAACTCCGTTCAAACGACGAGAACCACGGCGGAGAGAAAACTAACGACACATCATGATTCGAGATTCGAGATTTCTCCTCGTAGTACTGCTGGTAATGCGCGAGAACACGACCGATCAAATCACGGAGATGTTCCTCGTCGGAGCTATGATCAGAAGTTCGTAAATTCGATCGAAGCTCGTCCAGGTAATGTTCCTGACGAACTAACCATCCTTGGAAGAAATTCTCGAACTCTCTTACACTAGTGATGACTGTTCTTCTAGATTTTGGCGACATTTTGAGTGATTGATTGATGTCGGAAAAATCACCGGAAATATCTTGATTTGAGCGATGGAAACTTATAAGGTGGTTATGGAGTTGGATATTTTGGGTGATAATATTCGTGATCTTTCTAGAAGTTGCGTGAGTACAAGTGGAAGATGCATGCCAAAGTGACAGATGGAAAAACCCTGGTTAGAGGGAAATCAACTGTGAGTGACAACGAAGCGCGTTATTCACCACCAGCCCCTTTTTTTCAACTGGACTCTGCTTAAATAACGCTTATGGAAATGGAAACATAAAATTAGCTATTTATTTGTTATGGAGTCTCATTTTATTTTATTGTAAATTTATTATCCACTTAATTGGTTCTTAAAATAGTCCGAATTGATCAGATGAAAAATCAAGGTCGTTACTTTTGAAAAAAACCAAACTTAGGGCATAAAGAGCATAGTGAACTCATCCTCACGTATTACCAGTCATAATAGTTTATGCGAAATTTACAAAAGTTAAAAAGATTGACTTCACTAGTATAGAATAGGTTTAATAATGTTTGTAGAATAAGTTGATGGAACTTTAATATCACGTAAATATTGATGAAACTTCGTTTTTTCTTCTTTTGATGTAGTATAACAAACAGGTGGAAGATAAATACGGTTAGCACTATGTTCGGGGGCAAGATCTTCATGTACCCCCATCTCGACCATGTCCTTTCGGACTTTAACCTCTTTAGTTCTATGTTTCATCTCTAATGATAAGCATATCAAGCTCTCAAATACGTTTTTTTCTATATGCATAACATCTAGACAATGTCTAACATCCAAATGTCTCCACTAAGACAATTAAAAAAATTGACTTTTTTTTTTCCAAATAGCATCTTTATCAACACGAATTTTTTTTCCCAACACAACATTTATACTTGCAACTCGTGAAAATGCATCAAATTGTTTCCTCATCGTTCTGATCTCGATACTTCCGTCAAACTCAATAGTTTTCTTCCTAAAACAGTGACCATTCGAAATGAATCTTCGATCTCCCATATATACAGTTTTTTTGCAATTTGTTAACCATATCGAGCTTATTTGATCTTCACAAACTAGACAAGCTTTCTTACCCTTTGTTTTGTATCTTGACAATACAAAAAATTGTGGCCAACAATTGAAAGTGTTGTTTCTTATAAGTATCATATACGTCTACACCCAAACTCCAAAGAGTTTTTAAGTCATCAATCAAAGGAGACAAATATGCATCAATATCGTTACCAGGCTGTCTCGGCCCCTGAATCAACAACGATATCATAATGTATTTCTGTTTCATGCATAACCACGATGGAAGATTGTAAATGCATAAATGAACTGACCACGTACTATGACGATTGTTTATGTTCCTAAAAGGATTGTTCCTGTCTGAACTAAGCCCAAACCGTATGTTTCTCATCTCTTTTCCAAATTCAGGATATTTCTTATCAATGTTTCTCCACTGAGGTGAATCCACAACATGTCTTAGTTTTCTGTCAGTTACACGTTCTTCGGAATGCCAAACAAAGTAACTTTGCTTCTTTTTCGTTTGAAAATAACCTTTTCAGTCTAGGTATAATAGGGAGATACCACAACATTTTAGCCGGTGGTCCATTTTCTGTCACATCATCGTCAACTTCATCCGAATCTTTTTTCCGTTTTATACCTCGATGCACGGCAGAAAACACAGTTATGTTTATTCTCGAACTCCTTTCTATACAACATACAATTATTTGGACATGTATGTATTATTTCAACTTCCAATCTCATCGGACACATTAGCTTTTTTGCTTGGTATGTAGAAATGGGTAATTCATTGTCTTCCGGAAGAATTTCATGTAAAAGCTCTAATAGACTTGTGAAACTTTTATCACTACATCCGTTTTTTGACTTTAAGTTAATCAACCTCAATACAACATCAAGTTTCATAAATTTGGAACCGCTATATAACGGTGTTTCTGCTTCTTCAAATAGGCCTTGTAATTTTTCTGGTTCAACATCACCCATATTAGCCTCCATGTCATCAAACATTTCATTGAAATTGTCATTGGGGTACGTCATTTGAATGGTGATCATCATCATCAACATATGAATAGTTGTTGTATGTACTATTGTTAATATGTAAATTGTTGAATGATGTGCTACAATCAAGTAGTGTTTCTTTATGTCTTGACCAACAAGTGTAATTAGGCGCAATACCATTTTACAACAAATGATACTCTATTTCTTCGATGCAATTACACGTTTTAAAGTTTGTACAAATGTTACAAGGACAACAAATCGATCCACTTCATTTTTCTACGCGATTTGCTTCGGCAATCCTAATTGTTTCACTATTAAATCACTTATATTAAAAATAACTAAATCATTGTTATTAACAATTAAATAATAATTTCATAAAAAATATAAAAAATGATTTTTAGTATTGTTATTATGTTGAACTATATTATAAGAGATAAGGTTGGAACTTGAAGTTGTTTTGCATATATAAAGTTATATGATTAAAATAGAAAAAAAAATTAATTTTTAAAAATAAATAAATCGTTATTGTTATCTATTAAATAATAATTTCATATTAAATTAAAACGTTTATATTAAATATTATCATTATGTAGAAAATACGATAATAGAGACATCTTTTTATCTATCTTAAATTTTATCATTCTGTACAACATATGATAATAGAGACAACTTTTTATCTTAAATAGTAAAAAAAATGTTTTGTATCATAAATATTACCATAATTATGTAGAAAATATGATAATAGTGACGTCTTTTATAAGGTTAAAACTTTTAATTGTATTACATACAGGGTTGTAAAACTTGGCTAACACAACCAAATACTCGGCATGTTACTTAAACTCGGTCTCCAATGGAAGCGAGTTTGCCTAACTCAGCCAGAAGACACTCGGATCCTTATTAAACTCGATCCAAATCTAAAAAATACGGTCCAAAATCATTTTCGAAATTCTGAAATTTAATTGGTCACTTGTCGACAAAGACAATCTCACCAAAGAATACACTCAACGTCCTACAAAGTTAGATGCAAGGAAGATCTCATGGCTTAGTCCCTTTGAAATATTTCACAACCTTTCCTATTTATAGAGGAGAATACATTCTCTTGTTTACTCTCACGATCAATGTGGGATGAAGACATTTTAATTAAACTAATTTTTTTGTTTGCCAATAATTTCATTTTGTTAAATAAAAATTAAATAATAAAAAAATAAAACGTTATCCAGAAAATTTATTGTTCAATAGTTCTATTTTTCAGTAATCTCGTAAGTTGCTATAAAAAATTAAGTTTTTATTGAATAACTTTTTGTTAAATCCTAAAATCATAAATTCAGTTAGGTACTTAATATAAAAAGTTTGTTTATATGTATTTTCATGATTCAAAATGTCATTATAAAATGAATTCATTTATAAAATATAATCGAGTATATATTTCGTGCTTTTGAATCAAAGTGATTTTTCAAACAATTATAATTTTATGTTTAGGTAGCTTTTTTTATATTTATATAACATTATGTAACTTATAATATTATTATAAACAATTTGAATAATCATGGGAGTTTCAAATGTATGTGGTGAAAGGAAAATGCTTCATTTATCGGTCCAAATTGATCAAACTCGGACCGATTCAGCTTAATATACCAAACTACATAACGTTTTTTCTATTGAAACCCGGTTTGTATATATTTTGTTTTTGAATCAAATTTATTTTTCAAACAATTATAATTTTATGATTAGGTAACTTATTTATAATATTATTAGAAACAATTTGGAAAATCATGGGAGTTTCAAATGTATGTGCTGAAAGGAAAATGCTTCCTTTATCGATCCAAATTGATCAAATTCAGACCGATTCAACTCAATATACCAAACTACATAACGGTTTTTCAACTGAAACTCTGTTTGAACCTAAAAAAATCTTGTTCAAAACTATTTTCGGGATTCTAAAACTTAAATGGACAGTTGCCAATAAAGACAATCTCACCAAAGAATACCCTCAACATCCTAAAAAGGTAGGCATAAGGAAGTTCTCATGGTTTGGTCCCTTTGAAACATTTTACAACCTTTCCTATTTATAGAAGAGGAAACGTTCTCTTGTTTACTCTCACCATCGATGTGGGATGAAGATATTGTAATAAAACACGCTTTATTGTTTATAAAACATTATTCAACTTATTTAGTAAAACACTATTTCTCTTGTTTACCCTTTCTTTATTGTTCAATAGTTCCATTTTTCTATAATCTCGTAAGTTGCTATCCAAAAAAGTAAGTTTTTATTGAATAACTTTTTGTTCAATTCTAAAATCATAAATTCTGTTAGGTACTTAATATAGAAAGTTTGTTTATATGTATTTTCAAGATTCAAAAGTTCATTATAAAAAGAATTCATTTATAAAATATAATCTGCGTATATATTTCGTGCTTTTGATCAAATCGAATTTTGAAACAATTATAATTTTATGTTTAGGTAGATGTTTTTTTATATTTATATAACATTATGTAAATTTTTTAAAATATCATTGGAAACAATTTGAAAAATCATGGGAGTTTCAAATGTATGTAGTGAAAGGAAAATGCTTCTTTTATGGTCCAAATAGATCAAACTCGGACCGATTCAACTAAATATACCAAACTACATATTTTTTTCTAGTGAAACCCGGTTTGTATATATTTCGTGCTTTTAAATCAAAGTGATTTTTCAAACAATTATAATTTTAGGTTTAGGTAGATGTTTTTTTATATTTATATAAAATTATGTAACTTATTTATAATATTATTAGAATAATTTGAAAAATCATGGGAGTTTCAAATGATTGTTGTGAAAGGAAAATGATTCCTTTATCGGTCCAAATTGATCCAACTCCGGTTCAACTCAATATACACAACTACATAAATTTTTTTCTAACTGAAACACGGTTTAAACCTGGAAAAAATCGATTCAAAACCATTTTTGGAATTCTAAAAGTTAACTGGACACTTGCCAAT